AAACACAAGTTTGCTTGCTTACTCTGCTTCTCAACGCCACTTCTGTAGGACTTACCTATGCTGAATGTATCACTTCACACTACTGAATTCCTTGTCCAGTGTGTACCTCAACTTGAAAGGAACAGCATAATGTTCCAGGCAATCATCTTTGTTTTCTGTTTTGTTTTTTTTCTCCTCAGAGTTATGATGATCGCAAAGAAGTTCTTGGATGCTGGCCATAAACTGTCATTTGCTGTTGCTAGCCGGAAAACCTTTGGCCATGAGCTGTCAGAATTTGGTCTAGACAGCAGCGTGGGTGAGGCTCCTGTTGTTGCCATCAGAACAGCTAAAGGAGATAAATATGTCATGCAGGAAGAATTCTCGTAAGTTTTTTGAACTTAGCAATGTTGCCTCTCTGTTGATAGACTTTTGTCTAGGGGTCTGTGACCAGATCATACTTCATTAGCTTGGAGGAAACAGGAAAATTGGATCTTCCTGATGGAAGAAATGACTGCTGGGTCAAAATACCTTAGCTGTCAGGTGTGCTTTCCTACCCTCCAGAGAGCTTCCAAAAAAACTGTTTGTATACAAAGGTACAGAATTAAATTCAAGTTATTTAATGTCTGGTTTGGAACTAAGATGTATTAAAGGGTAAGGGTGGGAATGGTTATACCTTTTTATTGAGAAAAGAAGAAACTTAAGGGTGTTAGAAGGCCTAAAACCTTGAATGGGGTATGCATCCAGCCTCCTGTCAAAACTCTAGTGGTTTCTGTTGTGCTTGTTCTTGGGTCTTCTAAGTTGGCCCCAGACTGGTGCTCTCACAGATGCAAGTAGCATCTGTTACGTGGGTGGAAAGAGCTTATTTCAGCCTTGAAAGTTTTTGTCTCTCATCCTGTATGTGTCATGGTGGCTGTAAAATGTCACTTTGCTTTCAGCCGTGATGGAAAGGCTCTGGAGAGATTCCTGCAAGATTACTTCGATGGAAATTTGAAAAAGTATCTGAAATCGGAGCCTGTCCCTGAAAGCAACGATGGTCCTGTGAAGGTGAGTGCTGTATCAAGGGTAGCAGCAGCTCCTACTAGTGGCTGGAGAACTCTTCAGTGGCAGCTTCCACTCATATGCCAGTATCCGGTACTGTGAGTGCTGTGTTGTGGCACCTTGAGAAGCCTATGCTGTGATAGATGGAAAAAAGATGGAAAAATAATTCACTCCTTTTTATGTTGCAATTTTCTGAGGTAAGGGGGAAATGCAGCTTTTTCAGTTTTGATTCCATACTGTTCTGTCAGCACAGTAACTGCTGCTTGAGCACACTAGTGATTTGTCCTCCAAGTGTGAGATCATCACAATCTACGGGGATTCTGCGAAGGCCTGCTGTCTTGATTTGTGCTCCCCCATTTGGTCACAATTGTTGGTCACAGTTGTTGGTCACAACTGCACCATTCCTAAAGAGTTACATGTTCATCTCATCAGCTTAGGGGAATGGTATAATTCCTACTGTACATTCATCCCACTAAATTCTGCCCTGAAAGAAAGTATTCGCATGGTTTGGCTTTATGATTAGGGTGTTACAAGGGAATGAAAGGCACTATTTTTATGTGTGCATAGGGATACCCTGGCCAGTCTGGCTAAACTCATTTTTCAGCCTGGAACTAGTGGAATTAAAAATAAACAACTTTACCATCCTCCTGCAATGTTACCAGGTCCAAACCTCACCTGCAGGGGGTGCCAGTATCTTATGTCTTTTGCCTGCAAGTTAAAGATGTTACAGCTTGGTGAAGAGCTGTGCATTTGGTCATTTTGATGCTTGCTGTGTAGGTGTGGTGTGAATCCTGCTGTGGGAGAGCCAGGCTTCCTGGGGCGTAGCATATGGAGTATGTCCTGTTACCTCACTGCTGACTTACAAAAAAAAACAAACTAACTTGTCTAATTGAACTCCGTCAGGTGGTGGTTGCTGAGAACTTTGATGAAATTGTTAATGCAGAAGACAAAGACGTCCTGATAGAGTTTTATGCACCTTGGTGTGGCCATTGCAAGAATCTGGAGCCCAAATACAAAGAACTTGGGGAGAAGGTAGGTCTTAGGACTCTGTTATAAGAACAAACTAGAACTTTGCAGCGCTAAACAATCCTGCAGGTTCTGTCTGCCTATCCTTTATGATAACAGGGCATAATTAGTCCTTCTTGAGGACTTGCTTGACATTGCCTGTGAATGCAGAAGTGTATTAGCAGGATCTGGAGCATGGTAACAACCATGCTGTAAGGTTTAGCTTGCTCTTCTTGCTCTGGCAAGTAAATATTCCCTGATTCCCTGTCTTCAATTGGCAAAGTTCCTTTTTTAGGTCCTTTCCCTCTGAATGATTATAGTCTCTTGTCTGGTGAAGGATAACAGTGCCCTGTATATTTTCAGTAGTGGAGCTACAGCTCCACTACTACAGCTATTTTCTCAGATCTGTCCAGTGTTTTCCTATTTGATTGTCAGGCACCTTTCCTACATCTAAAAGGTTGAAGGTAGGTGGTTTCTCTGGGGTCAGCATTCCCCAGAAGTTATACCAGACAAATTCAGCAGGTGCCTTTGGGAGTTGTATGCTGCATACAGCTGAATGAGGAGGGACTTAATTCTTTGTGCCCCTGTTGAGGCAGAAGAAAACCACACAGAAATTTACTGATCTTTTTGTGTACAGTGTGTACTGTCCTCTGACATCACTTTGCTGATTGCTTAGTTCCTGGTGTTAACTACTATGGATTGGTTATTAATATGCTCTTTCTACTAACAGCTCAGTAAAGACCCCAATATTGTCATTGCCAAAATGGATGCTACAGCCAACGATGTGCCTTCTCCATATGAAGTCAGAGGGTAGGTGTTACTGCCGTTGTAGCACTGTATCAGTGGACCAGTTCAGGCTTCTGTCTCTGACCAGCAATCCCTACAGAAGTGCTGAAAGTGTCTCCTGGGGTGGATGGGAGCACAGGGGCAATTAGCATACAACTGTTAGTATTTGCTTAGTGTGAAGAAGTCATGTGGGAAAAAAACTACATGTATCTGTCACTCTCCTCTGGGATTCTGGTGTCCTGGCCATGCTTAAAGGCCTGTCTCACACAACCCCTTGCTCTGCTTTTGAATCTATGATTCTGGTCTCAGCAGTGTAAGAACAACACTGGAGTTGCTTTTATGAAAACTGTTTAGCTTGCAGAACTAGTTGTGCTCAGCCAGCTGTGCAGACAGGAGCAGGCTTTTGGAGGTCATACCTTCTGCCATAAGAGCTGGTGAAGCTGTTGCTGTGCTAAACCAGAACAATGCAGGGTGCGAGTTCCCTCAGTAAGTGTTGGCTTGATAGTCTGAAAGGACAGAGCCTGAAGAAAATAGCACATCCTGAGCTCAAACATCTATTCTGTTTCCCCAGCTTTCCCACCATTTATTTTGCTCCAGCTGGCAAGAAGCAGAGTCCAAAGAAGTATGAGGTGAGTGTTTTGCTTCTCCTGGGGCTTTGTAAAAAAGGTAAAGTAGAATCAAAGTGTTCAAATAATGAGGAGTCTCTCTGGAGTTGTGCCTGGCACTCTGTTCTGTTACCCTGGGAACACAGGTACCTGGTGGTACCTGCTGGGAATGTTCTGCTGCATGCTGCAGACTCACGGGGGAGAGCTTCACTCACAGTTGCTTTGGTCTCCTGCCTGGCACCTGAACACCACCCCCACACACACCCAGCAAAGGGAAGTCCACAGGGAGATGGGGCTCTGCCTTACTGTCTTGTGCTTCCTGCAGGGTGGCAGAGAAGTGAGTGACTTCATCAGCTACTTGAAGCGGGAGGCAACCAGCACTCCTGTGCTGCAGGAGGAAGATAAAACCAAGAAATCCAAGAAGAAAGCAAAGGAGGATTTGTAAAGTACCCACTCACCATCTTGTCAGGATGAGCTCTGTGTGAATTGGGGAAGCACTGGGCAGACTGGGGCCAGTTCTGGGTTGTGAAGAGCCAGTGACCATGTGGGCTGAGGGGCCCCAGCTGCTGTATCTAGTTCTGTTTAATTTCCTGCCGTCTCTTAGCTGCACTGTTGTGGGGCTCCCCAGACTGGTTTGTTTTGTGGTTTGGGAGGGGGTGGGAGCAGGGTTATTTTCTAATTTTTTTTGTACATTTGGAGAAGTGAAACAATAAAATGACCCCCTTAAACCAAAGTGTCTCTGTCATATGTAGGTCTCTCAAACACAACATTAGGCTGCGGCTGCTGCTCTGTAGTCAGCACCGTCTTACTGTGAGTCTAGTTTACTTCAGTGAGCCTTTAGGCTCAGCTTTTAGACTGTTTGTCCAGATCTGGAATCCTCCCAGAGTATAGTAGCAGCAACTGCCCCAATGGGTCGTGCTTCAGGTGCAGCAGCTGTGTAGATTTGGGGCTCAGGGACCCTGTTCATAAATGCTTTTGCTGTCTGCACGTTGCCTGGTAGGGTAATAATGCTGCTTTGGTGACTTTAGAGGTACATAGTACTTAATGTGACTGCTGAATCTAGACAGGCGGACTTACACAGCAGCATATCATCAGGTTTGATCAGCAGCATAAAGTAAGCTTTTAAATTTTGCAAAATTAGCTGAGTGTATGGGAGGAGCACTTGTAACAACGTATTCAACCCAAACACAGGTAAAGCCAGTGATGGTGTTTTTCACAGCCGTGTAGAAGATCTGTTGTCTGTACTTTGTGTATGGTTGGGACACCTAATTAAGACTACTTAATTGTGAGATTTTTTTTTTTGGTAGAAAGCAGGCTGTAGCAATGCCTCTCACCAGGAGAGGGATGCAATCCCATTCTCCAGTCAGATGGTGTGGGCTGTGACTGACCATCTTGGTACAAGCAGTCCTAACTTCCTCTGTCCCAGAATGTGCTGATTGGAAAGGTCAGGAGTGCTGTGGTGGGTGAACAAAGATAAGCTGTTGCCCTGGATATGAGTTTCTCAGTATGTGTGTGGATTAGAACAAGGAACAGCAGACTCATGAGGTACTACTATGGTACAGCAGTTACCATGGTAAGAATTAGTGCTTTCTTTGTGGTTTCTTCCCCCAAAGGCAGTGTACCAGTTTTTTATTTCTGCTGAAATCTTCCAGGTACAGATGATCATACAACACTTAGCACGTAGTTCTCTGGCTACAGCAGCTATGTAGTATCAGTTCTGAAATACAAGAATCTCTACTACATCTGTATACTAAACCACATCTACCTTCTCTACTCTGCTGCTGGCTGCCAAGTGGTCTGTGTCCAAGCACAGGTATCAAGGCCCCTTTTTGGTGGTGTCCTAGAGCAAAACCTGACTCCCTTGCACCTCAAGCTGGTAGGATCCCTGAAGCTGGCTGCAGATCCAGACACTAATACAAGAAATAGGATTATAACAGGACCTATTTATCTTCTGTAAAACCACACTGGAGTGCTGGTTCCCTAATGGACAAGGCACTGTCCTGCTCTGGGTAAGAAGCAGCTTTTTCGATCCTTGCCATCTGGTCTAGTCTGACTTCAGAACCAGTGGCAGCCAGGTACTGAGCACAGGTGATGTTTTTCTAAGAGTGTGGCTGAGTGCCTGCTCTTGGTGAGTGTTACTGCTTGTGCCCAGGCCACGTACTTTGTTACAGAGTAGAGAAACATTTCACAACTGGTAATGCAGCCTGGCAGGCAGCTGGGACAGCTTCTTTCTACAGCAGCCTGGCAGCTGCCCCAGGTAGCAACTACCCAAGGGCTGTGGGACATTCACCAACGTTACCCTTAGTCTAATGCATTTTTTGGGGCCTAATTCCTCCCAACTTTTCCCCTGTTCCAGGAAGAACAAGTCCTGAGAAGAAAAAAAAAAAAAAGGAATCCTAGCAGTGGTGTGCTTAGGAGCTTCCTCTGCCTTCAAACTGTAGAATCAGACTTTTGATGTGGGAGAGCTTCTGGTGCAGGTATTCACAGCGGTTCTTCTCCTGCTGGTAATTAGGATAACTCTGAAAGGAAAACAAAACAAAGAACAATAAATAAAAGAAAACCATACACAAAGATCAGCTCCTGGGGGGACCCCAGTACCTGTTGGGCACGCAGCCTTACCTTCTTGAAGTGACTGTATTCATACACAATCTTAGCTTCAAGTGCCTGAAAGTCAAAAGCAGGAGATGAGCAGAAAACAACACAGCTGTGTCACCCAATGGCCCAGGTCTACTGCTTGCCTGGTGCTCCTCTGTTCCTTGCTTCAATGTCTTCATTCTAGCTCCCAGCTGAATGAATTTCTGGCTCACACCAGCAATGCGAGCGTGCAGGTAGCGGTACTCAGCATAGTCTGCATTGAACGCTGCCTCATAAGACCTGCATTGCTCTGCTGAGCGGATGGTATGGTATTTTCTGCCACAACGAGGAGAAAAGGCTTGTTTTCCCTGTGTCTTCGAGCAGGTGGCAGGGCAGGGGCCTGGCCATGCTACGTTGTCTTGCCAATGCCCTCAGCACGAGCGGCAGTGAGCACACGGCTGTCACACTGCTGTGCCTGGGCCCTGGCTTGCAGCCTTTGCTGCTGCTGCCACTGGAGGCTGGGCAGGCAGTTTGGTCTCAGCCTGTCTCATGCTGTGGGGCTGGCCCAAATTGCCCAAATCAGGATGATGGTGTGTGGTAGGCAGTGGCAAACTCAGGGTGAGGATACGATGCTGTGGCAACTAGCACCAAACTCTCTTACCGCAAGTAATCCGGGATCTCTGCTAAGGAGGAGCTGCTGGGCTGGGACCTGGTGTCTGACAAGGAGAAGACGAGTGAGGATTAAAGCCCTCCCAGAGCCTTTTTCCACTCAGCCAGAACCTGTCCAGTGCTCTGTCTTAAACCAAGCTGGCAGCTGCATGGCTCCACTGGGCATGGGGGCCATGAGGCTGGGCAGCACATCCAGGCGTGCATCATCCCTGTGTTCGCCTTGGCTCTGCAGCCAAAACCTCTCTGCTTACCAGAAGTCCTGTTTTGGGCCACCCACCCCCCTCCCAAGGTATCCTAGGGTCTAGTTCTGCAACACAAGCTGGCCAGGCCCTGGCCATGCCCCCCCCTACCTCTGGGTGCAGAGCAGCGCTGCTCGGGGCACAGGGCGCCCTCCTCCTGGTCATTGTCTGCCTCTTCTCTGCTCTCCCCCCGTTCTGCACCCTGCAGCTCCCTGGTGTCGCTACTCGGGGGCAGAGGCCCAGCCTGCTGCTGGCCCCATGCTCCTGGCTGCCTTGTGCCAAATGTCCGCAGGCAGCTCCGGTGCCTCTTGCTGACTCTTGGGTTGGAGAAATCCAGCAGTGCCAGGCGCTTCTGAAAGAAAACTCGCTCTGCCTCGTGCCTGTCCCAGACCCCTGTTCCAGCAGTTGGTGCTGCACGCTTCTGCCAGCTTCAGCCCAGGGCTGCGACATCCCTTGCTTGACATCACAGCCCTGGCACAGCCCAGCCACTGGGCTGTGTCTGTGAGCCAGGAGCTGCAGCAGGGCCAGTCCCTGCTGCTACACAGGGCACAGGGGTGGCTGGGGCACAAGGCAGGAGCAGAACCCAGAGCCCCAGGGTGGCTGGGCTCCGTGGGAAGGGGACGCAGTGAGGAAGCAGCTGGATGCCTTCGGGAAGCAGACACCCAGCCGGGCCCTCTCCCCCTGTGAACCCGGGAGCTTTCTGCTGCTGGCGTCCACAAGCACTTACCACCCCCAGACGGTTTCCGCCAGCAGCCGGAGGGGAGCCGCACTCCAGCGGTTGCTGCAGAGGCACCAGGAAGGACCGGGCTGCGGGGCCGTGGGGCTGACTGCTGGAGCACAAGAAGGGGGTGACCAGAGACCTAGGCTGGGGAAGCGCCTTCGGATGCCTGGTGCCCGGGCAGCAGAAGGGTGGATCCAGCTGTGCCTGGAGGGTGCTGAGCACCGGGCATCACGCGCAGCGTGCCCAAGGCAAGACCCCAGCAGCAAACGTGCACCTGCAGCCCCCCTGCTCCTCGCACCTCACCCCAGTCCCCCAGCTCTACCTGTGCTGCAGCAGGGCAACCTGCCGGCGCTCCTGGGCCGTGTACCCCGGCCAGTCCTCCTGCACCCGCCCCACCAGTGACTCCTTCAGGCGGTAGCAGCACTCTGTGGGATCCAGGTCTGCCACCTGCACAGGGAGAGCAGCAGGCGCGTGTCCCGCAGTGCTCACACGCCAGAGTTGAGCTGCCCCAGTGCCCCTCACCTCCTCCAGGGCAGCCAGCAGCCCTGCCCAGTCGGGCCTGCCTGCCTGCATCCCCGCCAGCCGCTGCAGGAGCTCGTGCTTGCGGTGGGGCCGCAGGGCCAGGAGCTGAACCAGGCTTTGAGCAGCAGCCCTGGGGCTGGCTGCTGTTGGCCCGTGGTTCTTGCCCTCGTGGACATGACAGAGGGAGCTCTGCTGCAGCACGCTGACCGTGCCTGCCTTCTCGGGAGCCGTGACACCTTTGCCTGCAGACGCACCCGGAGAGAGCAGTGTCAGCACCTGGCAGAATCACACCAGATTTCCTCCCCCATCACACCCAGTGCAGCCCCTGTGCCCCCAGCCAGCGGTGCCCACCCCACCGAGGTTGATAGGGCAGGAACATGGTACGGCACTCACAGTGCCACTGGTGCCTCCTGCTACCTGGTGTGACCCAACACCCCCAGACTCACAGAGCTGTTGCCCGTGGCCATGGCAAGCAGCTGCCACATCCCAGAGCCAGCAGGTCCCAGGGAAGGCAGCCCCCGTCTCCTGGGGGGACAGCAGGGGCCCTGCAGCCATCACACCCTGGTGGTTTGCCAGCACACAGGTGTGGGTGCTCAGTGTGGCCTCAGCCTGAGAGGCAGCAGAGGCTCAGCACCCCCTGCAGCACCCTGCTCACCATAGCCAGGCACAGCTGCATCCACCTCAGTGACTGCTCTGCTCCAGGACTCCTTAGATTGGGACACACGCTCCCGCAGCAGTGGGTAGATGCCCTCTGAGGCACAGACTGTGATTTTTTCCTGGATGCTGCCCACGCTGTCCAGCCAGCTCTGACCTAGTCTGAGAGAAGACAATACCTCCCGCCAGCCAAGCCCAGCCCATGCTCTCTATCCCATGCAAAGCCCAGAGAAGACCTTGCAAGGCGGGCACCCCAAGAGAGAAGGCAGCCTGTCCCCAGAGAGGCCCCGTCTCCAAGGCTGCTGCTGCTCCAGCATGCTGAATGCCCCTACAGGGACTGTGGGCTGAGGATGCTGCGAACAATGAGAGGCTGTTGGGGATTTTCAGCCCCCAAAATCCTGGGCTGCCACTGGAGACCGTGAGCAGGATAGGACACAACCGGGGGCTGAACAGTGATGGGAGGTACTGCTCATGGGCAGTGCTCGCATCCATGGGTGTTGCAGCACCATCGGCAGTGCCAGGGCTGGGGCTGACACTGTGCTGCTGGCACAGGTCGAGTGCAAAGGTGACCAGGAGAATGGGAGAGGGCTGGCTCAGGGGGGGTACGAGTGAGCAGCCCCACAGCCCACCGGACCCTCGGCTTGGCGGCGGGGGGCTCACCGGGGCACTGCCAGCCGCACGCACTCGAAGCTGGCCTGCGGCTCGTCCCGGCTGCAGCGGGAGAGGAAGAAGGCGAAGAGCCGCGGAGCGGTCCCGGGGCCTCCCGGCACCGTCAGGCACTGCCGGCAGGGACCGGCTGTCAGGGCCGCGCCCCCCCCGAGCCTCTCCATTCCGCGGAGCGCGGCGGCTCCACCCCGCGGCGCCGCCCGGCTCCCACCGGCACCGTCCCGCGGAGACCGTCCCGGGCGCTCCGAGCCCCCCTCCCCACGCCCCGGGTGCCGCGTCCCGTCCCGTCCCCCCTCTTTCGCCGGTGCCCCGACCCACTCACCCCCGGCCACCCCGGGCGCCCCGGTGCCCCCGAGTCCTCCCCCGCCGCCGTCCCCAGCCCCACTCACCCCCTGGCTCCCCTGGAAGGCGATCGCGGGCCCCGGCGCCCCCTGCAACACCGCGGGACGCCGTGAGTCCAGCACAGCGCGGTTCCCCCTCGCCCCCCGGCCCGCCCCGGTCCCACCTGCCGCCGCTGGCAGCCGCGCAGCGCCCGCGCCGCCGCCTCCGAGAGCCGCACGTGCAGGAGGCTGAGCCGCGGGCCCCGCGCGCAGCCCCGGTACCGGAGCCGCCCGCGCAGCTCCGTCCGCGCCCGCGGCATGGCCCGGAGTGCGGGACCGCGCCGGGCGGCACCGGGACGGGGCGGTCCCGGGGCGGCTCCGGGGCGGCTCCGGGGCGGGGCGGCCGGTCCCGGGCCGGCCCCGGCGGGACCCCCGCGGCAGAGCTCGACCTGAGCCGGCTATTTTTGCCGGCGGCTCGCAAAGCTCTGCCGTCACCGCTAATCCCCTTAGCGGCTTCCGGGCATTAGGTAACGGCGCGGCGGGATGCTCTCGTGGGCGCCCCTGGCTCCGGGCTGCCCGGGGCAGTCGCGGGGCGGCGGGGCCGGAGGCGGCGCGCCCGGAGCGGGCTGGGGGCAGCGGGAGCCCGCCGCCGAGCTCCGGGGAGCGAGGGCCCGCCCGGGCCGAGGTCGGGTCACAGCTGCGGGGGGGGAGCGGGGCCGGGGGCGGGCATGCAGGGACCCTCGGCAGGCGGCGGCTCCCCGGAGCGGGAGGCGGGGGCCGGCGAGCGGCCGCGGGGGCCGGGCCGGGGCAGGAGGGTCCGGTTCCGCATGCCACACACCACCATCGCGGTGCCGTCGGGCCGCGAGGAGGAGCAGCTCTTCTACCGGCGGCTGGACGGACTCGCGGCGCTGGGCCCCGCCGGTTTCACGCCGCTCTTCGCCGCCGAGGGCTGGAGCGACCTGACGGGTGAGTGCCCGGGCGCGGCGAGCCGGGGCCGGGAGCCCCGGACGGGGCGGCGGTGCCCGGGGGCGGCTCTCACGGGCCACCTCCCGCAGAGGACCGGCTGCTGCGGAAGCGCGTGGTGCGGGACGGGCAGGGCGGCCCGCCGCCGCGGCCGGGCCAGGAGGTGTCGGTGAAGGTGCTGGGGGCCCTGGAGGACGGCGGCCTGGTGGAGCGGGACCCGCGGCTCAGCTTCGTGCCGGGCCAGGGCGACGTCGTGCAGGTCTGCTCCGGCGGGGGCGCGGGGCTCGGGGCCGGCGCCCGGCGATGCCAGCCCGTGCCCCGTGTCCGCAGGCGCTGGAGCTGGGCGTCCCCACCATGCAGCCCGGAGAGGTCTCCTTCTTCCTCGCAGCCTTCCCCTACGGCTACGGCCGCGCGGGCAGGTGGGGCCGGGGGCGGGGGGCGGCGCGGCCGGGCGGCGCAGGGGGCAGCCGGCGCTGTGCCCGCAGGGAGCCCGACGTGCCGCCCGAGGCGCCGCTGCTCTTCGAGGTGACGCTGCTGGAGGTGCGCGACAGCCCCGACCCGGGGCGGCTGCCGCCCGCCGCCCGCCTCCGCCTGGGCGCGCAGAAGCGGGAGCGGGGAAACGTCCACTTCGCGCGGGGCGACTTCGCGGCGGCGCTGCGCTCCTACCGGCTGGCGCTGCGGGCCCTCGACGGCGCCGGTGAGCCGGGGCGGGGCGGGCCGGGGCGAGGCGGGCCGGGGCGAGGCGGGGCGGGGCCGCTGACCGCCGTGCCCCCCGCAGCCCCGGCCGGGCCGCAGGAGGAAGAGGAGCTGCGGGAGCAGCGCGTCAAGTGCCTCAACAACTGCGCCGCGGCGGCGCGGCGGCTGCAGCGCGGCGGGGAGGCGCTGGCGGCCTGCGAGGCGGCGCTGCGCATCAGCCCGGACAACGGCAAGGCGCTGCTCCGGCGGGGCCAGGTGCGCCCCGCGCCGCCCCGCACCGCCGCGCCCGGCCGCCAGCGCCCGCCGCCAGCCCCGCCTCTCCCCTCCCGCAGCTGCTGGCGGAGCAGGGCCGCGACGAGGAGGCCGCGCTCGTCCTGCGGAGAGCGCTAGAGCTGGACCCGGCCAGCAAGGTGCGGGCGCCGGGCGGGGGGGGCCGCGGCGGGGCCGTCCCCGCGCCGCCCCGCTGCAGCCCGGCCGCCTCTCCCCCCGCAGGCCGTGCACGCCGAGCTCTCCCGCCTGGTGAAGCGCCGCGCCCGGCCCGCCGCCCCCGAGGAGCGCCGCGACCGCCCGCGGAGCCCCGGGTGCGTCGGCGGGGCCGTGCCCGGCCCGGTCACTGCGCGGCCGCCCCGCGCCGCCGGGCCCCGCTCACGGCCGGCTCTGCCCGCAGGGCGCCGCAGGAGGGCGCGGCCTGAGCGGCCCCGGCCCCGCCCCGCGGGACGGCGGAGGGGCGGTGGCAGCGGCGGACCGGAGTGGGGACTGGACCCGGCCCGCGCCTCGCCGCTCCGCGAGGGGGCGGGGCTCTGCCAGGCCCCGCCCTCCCGGGCAGTGGGCGCGGCTCGGCGGCCCTGGCGCCTGCGCCGCAGCTCTCGGTCTTTTCGCCCCCGCCGGCAGAACGGCGGTCGTAGCCCGCGGCCAATCAGGCGGGGCCGAGCCGGCGCGGCGCGCCAATGGGAGCGTGCCGGGGCCGGGCTCGGCGCGGCGATTGGCTGCGGCGCGCCCTTAAAGAGCGGTGCGGGGCGGGGCGCGGGGGGGCAGTGCGGGACGTGGCGGCGGAGCGCAGGGCGGGAGGGAGCGGCGCCATGACCCGTGAGTGCGGGCCGGGCAGCGCCGGGCGGCGGCGCCGCGACCCGCCACTGCGGGGGGAGGGGGCCGGGCCGGGCCGGGGGAGCGGCGCCGCGCCCGGGAGTGCGGGCCTGGGGGCCGGGCCGGGGGCGCGGGCTGGGCCGAACCGGGCCGGGGCCGGGGCCGAGCCCCGGGGCTGGGCCGGGGGCCTCGGAGCCGGTCTGAGGCGGCCGCGCCGTGGCAGGCGGGAACCAGCGCGAACTGGCACGGCAGAAGAACCTGAAGAAGCAGAGCGACTCGGGCAAGGGCAAGCGGCGGGACGACGGGCTCTCGGCCGCCGCCCGCAAGCAGAGGTGAGCGTCGGCCGGCCCCGCCGGCACCCCCGCCCCGGCCCCGGCCCGTGCCGGCGGTGGTGCCGGTGCCAGCCCGGCGACGCGCTCTCCCGCAGGGACTCGGAGATCATGCAGCAGAAGCAGAAGAAGGCCGACGAGAAGAAGGAGGGCGCCAAGTAGCCCGGGGCCGGGCCGGGCCGCTGAAGCCCCGGGGCCGGGCCGCCCGCCGGCAGGATGCCCAGCGCAGCCCCGGGGCCGGGCCGCCCCGCCGGGGACCCCGGCAGCAGCGCCCTGCGCCCGCCCCGGGCCCCTCTCCTATTAAAGTAGCTTGTGGAGCCCTGCAGGCCCTGCCTCCTGCCTCCTCCCTCTCTGCGCCCGCGCTGGGGGGGCTGGGGCCGCCCGGGGGGCGGGATGGGGCCGTGCCGGGGGGGCTGCCCGGTGGGGCCGCCCCCGGCGCTGAGCGGACTGGTGGGGGGGGGGGGGGCAGCGCCGCGGAGCGGCCGCAGCCTCACGGTGAGAAACAAAGATGAGGCCGGGAGGGGAGGGCGCAGCCTGCCAGGGCTCCGCGGGCGCCGCCTCGGGGGACACCGACCGCGGCTGCGGGCGTGCGGGGGGGGCCGGGCCCTGGCGGGGCAGGCGAGGGGAAGACGCCCGGGGGACGGCGGAAGGACGGGGATGCGCTGGAAGCCCGGAGGAACGAAACCAGCAGAGAAATGAAACCAGCGGAGGACGGCGTCTGGGGTGGAAGGAGCTGTAGTGGGGGCCGAGCAGGGAGGCGGCGCGGATGCGGGGGAGCTGCAGGGGCAGCGGGCGGCACGGCGGGCCGGGAGCCGGGGGGAGCTGCGGGCGGGGGCGGGCCATGGCCTGCAGCCCGCCCGCTCCTGCGCTAGGCCCTGCAGCAGCCCGGGGCTGCCCTCGGGGGAGGGATGCTCGCATCCAGGCAGACACCGCGGCCGCTGCTCGAGCCCGCCGTCCTCTTCACCTCCCTGCGGGGCCAAGCGCGGTGCCGTCAGCCAGGCCCGCTGCCCGGGCGCTGCGCGGCACACCCGGCACGCAGAGCTGCTCACCGGGCGAGGTGCAGCACAGCCTCCACCACGTTGGTGCCGTCCTTGGCGCTGGTCTCGCAGAACAGGCAGTTGTGGGCCTGGGGGGGAGAGCAGGCGAGTCAGGGGGAGGTCCCGGCCCTCCTCAGCCCCGTCCTGAGCTGTGGCTGCTCACCATGGCCAGCTTCTGCCCGTGGGCCGTGCTGACCCCCGCTGCCTCTGGCAGGCCGGGGCGCAGGTCAGTCTTATTCCCCACCAGCATGAGCGGGAGCGCTGTCTCAGCAGCCTGCTGGAGCGAGGGGCAGCTCATGGCTCGGGCACGCAGCCTGGCTGGAGCAGCCTCTGTGGGGCTCTGCCCTTTTTGTTCCAGGTGCTCCCCAAGGCCTGGCTGGTCCCAGGCTCTGCTCCACAAACGGCCCAGCCGGAGCAGGTTTGGTGCTGCTCCCACAGCACCATGTGGGGCTCAGCACAGCCTTCCCCAGGGCTGCTGCCCTGCCCCACGGGGGCTGCCGGATCCTCCCCTCTACCTTGATGTCCTCAATCCACTGGCGGATGCTGATGAAGCTGCTCTGGGAGCTGATGTCGTAGAGGAGCAGCACGCCGTGGGCCTTGCGGAAGTAGGACTGGGCAATGCTCCGGTACCTGCAGCCAGGGCTGTCACTGCAAGGGGGGCAAGACCCCTGCCCACCCCGGGCCAGCTCTGGGGACCTGCCAGCCCTGCCGGCTGGGTGCCAGAGGCAGGCATGGCTCCGGCTGGCTCTGCTCACCTCTCCTGCCCAGCTGTGTCCCAGATCTGCAGCGTAGTTTGCTCCCCATCCACCAGCAGCTGCTTTATCTGGAAGTCCACCCCTGCCAGGAGGAGCAGTCAGGCCCGGCTCCCTGTGCCCCTGCCCCTCCACCTCAGCCCTGGTACCTAGTGTGGCAGAGATGTCTCTGAACTCATTCATGCACAGGCGCATCAGGAAGCTGGACTTGCCTGTGCCACTGTCACCTGCCAGCACCAGCCGGTACACGGGGCAGGGGGGCGCAGGCTCCTCTGCTGCCCTGGACCCCTGGGGAGAAGGGGGGAGGAGGGCATGGGGAGAACAGCAAGGCGGGGGTGTCCCCGCTCCCCTCCCCAGCTGGGCTGCGAGCACCGGATGGGGCGTTGCTGGTTACCTCCGGAGGGAAGGCAGGGAGCTTCCTCTTGCAGCAGTGCTGCGCTGGGTGGCAGCAGCCTTCTGCCGGGGGGACGGGGTCCTGCAGGGTGGCAAACATCGCAACAAGGCTTCTGAGCCTGTGGGGTGGGCTGGGGGCCACGGGTAGGCAGAGTGGCATCCCCCCCCCCAGCTGGGGCACTGGGCAGGGCCTCACCTGGGTGCCCCAGCAGGGGCTGTGGGGACGCGCATCCTCCGAGCTCCAGCTGCTGGCATCGCTGAGCGAGGCTGTGTCCGAGCTGGAGGCTGAGCTCTGCCGGGGGCCTGTGGTGGGGAGCTGGGGGCGTGGAGAGCCGCCCCCCCTGTACCTGTGCCCAGGGCAGCGCTCAGGGAGGGGCGGCCACGGCTGTCCCTGCTCCTCCGCACCCGCTCCTCACCTGCCGTGGGTGTCCTCAGGGAGGCAGGGTGAGGGGTCAGCGAGGGGGCTGCGGGGCTGGAGGGGGGGCCATGGCTGCGGGGGAGGCATCAGTGTGGAGGGCCTCCTGGGGGGGGTCCACCGCTCCCAGCACCCGGGGCTGCGGCTGGACCCTGGGTGCCGGCTGCAGCCCCTGTGCTGGACGCGCCTGAGCTGGGGCACGGGCAGGGCGAGCGGGGAGCCCCAGCAGCGCCCGCGCCCCTGCCCTCCCTGCTGCACCGCGCAGCACTCACCGCTCCAGGGCCCCGGCAGGAGCCCAGCAGCAGGGCTGAGCGCAGGCTGCTGTTGCTCTCACACAGGCTCCTGTTCGTCGCCCTGCCCAGAGGAGCAGCCTGAGCCCCAGGCTGGCGGGGACTGGGACAGGCGCTGGTCTCGTCAGCTGTCCCCTGCCACCGCTTCCCTGCCAGGCTCCTACGTACTGCAGCATCCTGACGTAGCTCATGAAGACCAGGTTCTCCTCTGCCAGCTCCCGCAGGGCCTGCTGCTCCCTGCAGGGACACAGCACCCTCATGGCAGGGCCTCCAAAGGCTTGGGCTGCCCACAGCCTTCCAGCCCTGGCCCCGCAGGGCTGGCAGAGGAGCTGGGACGGCCCCGGGACACCCGGTGTCACAGGGGCAGGTAACACCGGGCCGGTGGGGACGTGCCAGCTGCTCTGCACGGGCTTCCCGACGGCTGCGGGAGCTCACAGCACAGCTGGGTGGGCAGCACTTCCCGACGGGAGCCTGGCCCCGGGCTGCACCGGGGCCGTCCCGGCCATGGCCAGGGCCGTGTGGGGCACCCGTTTGGCAGAGCCGTGCCGAAGCAGGGGCTGGGTCTGGGGTCCCGCCTCGCCCCCGCCACTCGTCCCTCGTCCCTCCCACCTCGCCCCCGGTGCCACCTCGTGCGCCGCTGCGCCCGCTGCCCGAAGTCCTTCCGCAGCCGCTCCAGCTCTGCCTGCAGCTGGGAGATGCCGGCCTCGGCCTGCCGCAGGGTGCACCGCAGCCGGGCGTTCTCCTGGCGGGCAGAGTCCCGCTGGCACCGGCGGCGCAGCCCGGAGCCGCAGCCGCCCCCCGCGCCCCGCGCCCCGCGCCCGTACCTGCGTGGCGGCCCCGAGCCGCTGCTGCAGCCGCGCGACGCCCGCGCCCCGCCCGTGCCCCTGCATGGCCGGGGGAAGGGGGGGCACAGGCGGCAGCCCCCGGGCAGCCCCGCTCCGGTGCCGCCCTCCCCGCTCGGCTCCTGGGGCCGGTGGGCGCGGGGCAACGGCGGACCCGCGACGCTCCCGGTCGGGCGCGAGCCGCCGCGCGGGGCCCCCGTCGGGCGGCAGCGGGGCCCCGCCGGGGCCGCCCCCGCCGTGTTTGCTCTGCGGGCGGGGCGGGGGCCCGGGGCCGGCCCCGCATTCCTGCGGCCGTGCTCGTACCGCGCCCTCCGGCCGCCGGCCCCTCCGGGCTCGCTCCGGGCACGGGCGGGTGCCGGGGGCAGTGTCCGTCTGTCCGTCCATCCCTCTGTCTGTCTGTCCATCCGTTCTTCGCGCGGCTGGGCTTGGCCGCAGCGAGCGGAACGGGAGCGTGGCGTGACTGCGGTGCTGGGAGAGGGGCGGCTGTGGTGGTGGCGTGGGGTGGGACAGGACGGGACAGGGTGGGATGGGATGGGGTGGGGTGGGAGTGGAGCGAACACGGGGATCAGGTGCAGATGGGGACGGGAGCAGCCCCGGTGCCGGGGCTGGGTGCAGGGCCCGCTGCTGGCTGTGGGCTGGGGCAAGACCAAGGGCGCTCCCTGGCTGCTCCCCGTCAGGCCAGGCCCCTGCCCCCTGCCCCGTGCCCCCGCAGGGCTGGGGGCCGCTGGGGTATTGCTGGCACCTGCCACGCCCAGCCCCACGGCTGCTGTGTGCATGCAGGGCAGATGGCACACGCTTCACTCAGAGCTTTACATTAAAAAAAAATGTATTCAAGGAGCTATTTACAACAACCACACGGCCAGGCAGGCGAGCTGAAGTGGAGGTGGCCAGCGCAGAGTGCTGCTCTCCTGGCAGGCCCCAGGCCAGGGCAGGAGCCATGCCAGGGGGGTGCGTGGGCAGGAGCTGCCTCCCTAGCTGGAGGGGTCGCAGCTGTAGCTGAGGCTGAGCACCCGCCACCCAGGTGGTCTCGGGGTGGCCCCCGATGGCTCCAGCTCAAGGCAGGAGCAGCGTCCCTGCGGGCTGGTGTCGCAGAGCGCACACCTCCTCGATCCTCCTCCGGTGCTGCCTTTTCCTGGGACACGAGGTTGGGCGGTGCCCGGGCACAGGAGCAGGGCACAACCCGTGCACGGGGCCGGGCGCAGTCCGTCCCAGCAGGGACTACGTGGAGACACTGATACGGTGTGGGGCGCGCCGCCGCCGCAGGACGCGCAGGGCTGGGCTGCTGCGCCGGTGCTGGGGGGAGCTGTGGATGCAGAGGGGGCTCAGCAGCAGCCACAGGTAGAGCAGGACACAGGCCCAGCACGAAGCCACCTTCACCCAGAACGTCGACCAGCTGCCGTGCGTGAAGGTGGTCTCCAGCACCGCGTTCTCATAGCTGGTGGGAGAGGGCAGGTGTCGGCACCCGAGGGACACCAACGGGGGTGACCCCGGGGATCGGGCAGGGGCTGTTGGACGGAGCAGCGCAGGTCTGCAGGCACAGAGCCCTACGCACATGACCGGACTGCTGACACTGGCCCGGCGTGGAGCAGCCTGTGACAAGCACCAGGCTATGGCCACACCGAGAGCAGGTCAGAGCTGGTGCTGACAGTGCTGGTGGGCAGCCTGGGCAGGGTGGCTGAACCAGAGCTGGAAAAGGAGCAAGGGTAAGGGGGGGGTTGACCAGCACCCTGGGCCCTACCTGAACCAGTTGGTGAGGGTCATCATGACGTAGAGCGAGGCAAGGAAGAAGACAAAGTGGAAGGCTGAGTAGCTGTAGACCACCCGGTCTCGCTCATCCTGGACAAGGCACTGTCCCCCGGCAGGCTCCTCTGGCTCACACGTCTGCTCCGCACCTGGGAGAGTGCAAGATGACAGCAGCTCCTGCACCCTGTCCTCCAGCACCCCTGGGCTCTGATGCTGGTGCCCACGTTTGTGTGTTCCTGCAGCTTCTCCCCAGACCTGCTGGCACTCACCTCTCAGCTCCTCCTCCATCTTCTCTGGGCAGCAGAAGCAACAGGAAGGTTTCTGCAGAGAGCCGGAGAGGCGAGCTGGTGATGGTGTGGGGTGAAGGCAGGGACCTGCGGCCACCCCTCCCTGCTGCTGGGTCAGCCCAGCCCCACAGCCGCTGCCCCACTTGGGCAGCCCCGCAGCATCTGGACTGAGCTGTTCCTGCTGCTGCCACGGCTGCCCGGCTGCAGGGAGCTGGCGCAGACGGGGTAAGCACAGGAGAGTCCCCAGCTGAGCTGGGCAAACCTGCCTCTGCCCCGGGGCTGGATCTGGGGCTCAGGAGGGCTCTGGGCGCTGCCTCTGGGTGCCTGTGGCAGGAGGATGTGGGGCACAGATTGGGGTGGGCAGCGTCTGTACTCACTTTAAACTCAAAGCTGTAAACTTTGACCATCCAGAGGGGCCCGAAGATCTCGGCAAGATAGGAGGCTTCATTACTGTGCACGGGAGAGAGGCAGAAGGCGTAACACACGGGAATGCGCCAGCCCCAGCCCACCCCACGGATCCATCACCTGGGATCCTCACAGCAGCAGCAGGCTTGCTGTGCCTGGCGTGGGGAGGTTACGCTGCCCCCGGGTACAGCCCAGCGCCTCCGGCCATGCCACGGGCTGGGGACAGGGTCCCCGCACGGTGCTGAGCTGGCTGTGCCCAACAAGGGGCAGTTCTGGGCAGCGCTGTGACAGGCGGGATCCCTTGCACCCCGTGCCCCAGGCACACGCACCATGCGAAGAGCACACAGGCGTACATGATGGCAGCCCCCAGGACAGCAACGGTCGTGTCCTCTGTCTGCAGCTCATCCTGCCGGGTGCCGGGGAAGCAGACGGTGAGGTTCTGCCCCTTGTAGAGCACTGCGGGGAGGTGGAGGTGAGAGGGGGGTTGTGTCCCAAGGGCCGGCTGTCCACGGGAGGTGGCACCACTCACCTCTCTCCGGAGGGCGGCTGGACAGCGCAGAGAAGGTGAGGTACATCACGTAGCAGCTGATGATGGAGGACTGCAGCAGCCCTGACCGCGGCTGCTCTGCAAGGAGAGGGGGCAGAGGCTTCGTGAGGGCTCCAGGCGGTCCCCTCCCGTGGGGCTCCTGCCCAGAGCCCTGTGCCAAGGCAGTGAGCGGGGCCAGCAGGAGCTGGGGCCTCCCCAGGTGCCCACTGCTCTTGTGCTGAGCTGGGGGCTCGCAGCTGCCCTCCCAGCACTGGGATGCCGCTGGCCCTGCCCCTCGGCAGGCAGTGCCGTGCTGTGCCGTGCGGCGCTGTGCAGTACTCACTGAGCCGCACGCAGGGCGTGATGGAAATGAAGGACACGATGCCGCAGAGGCTGCCGTTGACGGTGAGCAGCGCCTTGTTGAGCTGGCAGGCAGCCGGGTGGGTGTAGTACTTGTAGAGGAAGGAGAAGGCGGCAGGAGGCGAGGGTGTAGAAGGTGGCCGTGGCCAGCAGCACGGCCAGGTACCAGCGCTTGTCCTGCGCAGCGCCCGTCAGCCTGCCGGGACAGCGGTGAGAGCCGGGGGCACCTGGGCACCCAGGCGGCCGCAGCGCCACTCACCAGTTCTTGTTCCAGGTGTGCGCGAAGGCGGTGATCAGCACCAGCTGGATGAGGATGAAGGCAAAGCCCCCGCAGACACCCGTGTAGTGCCAGGCTGCAGGGGGAGAGGGCGGCGGTGGGGCTGGCACGAGGTGGGGGCACTGGGGGCTACAGGCAGGGGCTGGCTGGGCTGGGGACGCACCTCGGATGAAGCTGTCCTCGGGGATGAAGAAGCTGGCGGCGCAGAGCCCCACCAGCACCAGCAGCTTCAAGAACCAGAACCTGCGGGGCAGCGAGATGCAGGATGGGGGCACCAGGCAGCCCCCAGCCCCCAGCCCCTGTCCCGGCCCGTACCCGTTGTGGAGCTGCGCGCGGCAGTCCGTGCTGGAGCGCACGTTGAGGAGCAGGGCGGCCTGCAGCAGGTGGAAGCAGGCGGTGCCGAAGCAGACCCGGTACACGGCCGAGGAGCCCACGAGCCGCTCGCAGTCGGTGCCGCCAGGCAGGTGCTGGCACAGCACGGCCGAGAAGGGCACCTGCAGGCACGGCGGGGGGCTGGGGCTGGCGGGGGGCCCCTGGCACCCCCCGCACCCCCAGCACAGTGGGACCCCCGATGCCCCCAGCACTCCCAGCACCCTCCCCATCCCCATTAGCCCCGGCACCCCAGGGATCGCTGGCACCCCCACAGTCTGGGCAGTGGCTGCATCTCCCTGTGCCCCTGGCTCCCCATTCTCCTTGGCACTGCCAGCACCCCCGCTGCTCCGAGCCCCCCCAGCCCCCCCAGCACCCCCGCACCCCGGGTCGCCCAGCTCCGCCAGTCACCTTCTCCCTCACGGCCTGTGCCACGGTGCGGGACAGCATGAGGCAGCACACGGTGGAGGCCAGGACGTGCAGGAGGGTGTAGAGGACGCGGGTGCCCGTGGACACGCGGAGCCGGCCGCAGGGGCCACAGCTGCAGCGGCAGCACAGCTGGGGGGGCAGCGCAGTCAGCAGGGGACCTGCAGCCCCCCGCCCGGCCCCCCGCACGCCCCGGGGTCCCACCTGGCCCAGCAGCGAGTGCAGGAGGCGGCCGCGCGCCCTCGTGCCCGCCATGGCCTGGCTCAGCCCCGCTGCCCCGGCGGGATTAGGGGGATTGTCGGCTCGGCCCGCCCCGCCATCTGCTCCCGGAGCGGGCCGGGGGGGGATTAGTGGCTGAGCCCCCGCACCCCTCACGCACCCCTCACCGCGGGTTGCTCACGGGCACCGCGAGGCCCTGAGGGGCCGGGGCGTGGGGGCTGTGCTGGGGGGGCTGTGTCTGGGGGGGCTGTGTGTGGGGGGGAGTGTTTGGGGGGGTGCTTGGGGGGGGCTGTGTGTAGGGGTTGTGCTGGGGGCTGTGTTTTGGGGGGCTGTTTGTGTGGGGGGCTGTGTTTTGGAGGGCTGGGGGGGGGCTGTGTTTGGGTGCTGTGTTTAGGGTCTGTGTGTGGGGGCTGTGTTTTTGGGGTCTGGGGGGGGGGGGGGCTGTGCAGGGGGGCTGTGTTTTTGGGGTCTGTGGGGGGGCTGTGCAGGGGGGCTGTGTTTTTGGGGGCTGTGCTGGGGGCGCTGTGTGTGGGCGCTGTGTGCGGGGGCTCCGTGCCCCCGGGGCCGTGCCGGTGCCGTGGCAGTGCCGGGGGGGCGGCACCGGCTGCGGGGAGCAGCGCGCGGCCCCCGCGGCCCCTCCGGGCCCGGTGCGGGCGGAGCGCCCCGGCCCTGCCCCGCCGGCCTCCCGCCGCCGGGGGGCGCTGTCCCGCCGCGGGGCCCCGGGGGCGCCGCTCCCGCCCGCCTCGCCGGTTCCGCCGCCGTGCCGGGGCCGGAAGCGGGCGGGCGGCGCGATGGCGGCGGAGGGGGACGTGGAGCTGGAGCTGGAGACCGAGCCCAACGGCTCCGGCGGCGGCGGCAGCGACGGGGCGGGCGGCAGAGCGGCCGAGAAGCCGCGCAAGCACGACAGCGGGGCCGCCGACCTGGAGAGGGTGACGGACTACGCGGAGGAGAAGGAGATCCAGAGCTCCAACCTCGAGACGGTGCGGCCGGGACGGGGGCGGCGGGGGAGGGGGGAGACCGGGGGGGGCCGGGGGGGACCGGGGTCCCTGTGCCGGGGTCCCGGTGCCGGGAGGGTGCCGGGAGGGTGCCGGTGCCGCGCCCCGCCGTGACCGCGCTCATCCCGCCAGGCCATGTCGGTGATCGGAGACCGGCGGTCCCGGGAGCAGAAGGCGAAGCAGGAGAGGTAACGGAGCGGCCCCGGGCCCGGCAGCGCCCGGGGACACGGAGCCGTCCCGCCGCGGAGTGTGCCCGGCCGAAGGGGGAGGCCCCCCCTCAGCGGTGCTGCCTCGTTGCAGGGAGAAGGAGCTGGCGAAGGTGACCATCAAGAAGGAGGACCTGGAGCTGATCGTAAGTGGGGCGGGGGTGGGAGCAGCACGGCCCCAGGCCCGGGGCTGGCACTGCCCCAGCGGGGTCCCGGCGGGGCGGGGGGTGCACCCTGGGGTGCCCCAGGCTGGTGGAGCCCTGCCCGGGCCGGGCCCGTGGCCGTTGGGTGCCCGCTGCAGCGGGCGGTGCTGTTCCTGCAGATGACCGAGATGGAGATTTCGCGGGCAGCTGCGGAGCGCAGCCTCCGGGAGCACATGGGCAACGTGGTGGAGGCGCTGATCACCCTCACCAACTGAGCGTGGGCCCCGCGGCTGCGCTGGCGCTGCCGTCCCCTGCTCCAGGAGCGGCCCCGGCCCGACACAGCCCTGGCTGGAGAGGACGTGTGTTAACTTATTGAATAAAGGCACCAGCGGGAGCAGGCCCTCCCTGTGGCTCGTGCAGCGCCAAGTGCTTCTCCTGGGGGCAGGTTCCAGAGGGTGCCTGGCCCCAGTGAGTGCGTGGGGAGGGTGCATGGGGATGGCACGGGGGTCGGGCTGGGGCTGCCCCATACCCCGTGACCAGAGAGCGGCCGCTGGGCCCTGCTGCAGAGGAGCTGGCCTGCCCCGGGGCTGGCAGGAGACCTTTCTCCTGGGGACAGGAGGGTCTGGGCTATTCCTGAGCAGGGAGCACACACGCCAGGCTGCACGGGGCTCCAGCAGGGCACCACACCAGTGCCGCTTCCTCATTTGTGAACCCAGCCACAGCTGGAGACCAGAGGTGCGACCTGTAAATGAGCCAGGCCATAAGCAGAGAGGGCAGAGACCAGCCTGGGACAGCCCCTGCCTTGGCCCCTGGGCACCTGCCCCACCCCGAGAGCAGGAAGCCCAGACGAGCAGTGACAGCGTCACCTGCGTCCCACCTGTTAGCACAGGGCTCTCCCCTTTCCTGGGGAGGGGAGCGGGAGCTGGGGGGACGCTGCTGCACTGCGGCTGTGTTGCTGCCCTGGCAGGGCAGGGGGGGCACCTACATCTGTGCCTGGAGCAAGGCACAGGGCAGCCGAGCTCCTCCATGGACACCGCTACCACAGTTCTTAAGAAAACAACTGCTTTAATCAAAACAATCCCCTCCTGCTGCCCAGGTACAAAAGCCAAGCCCCGCAGAAACAGGGTTAGGAAACGTTGTTACAGCTGTTCTGAACCAAGAAAAGGGCCCGCTGTGGTGACGGGACAGGTACAGGGCACAGGGAGACACCAGGGAGCAGAGAGAAGTCCGCGAGTTCCTCCGAACGCGGGGCAGGGGGCGCCGTGCTCCCACACAGCCGGGCCCGGCTCCGTCAGGGTGGGCGGGCGGGCAGCAGCCTCCGCGAGGCGGGCGTGGAGGAGGCCGTGTCTGCGGGCACGGTGCCGCTGTGCTGCCGGGGAGGGTGCGGGGCAGGGGCACGGGAACAGCGTGTCACGGCAGAGTCCTGGCAGTTCCCTCCCCTCTGTTCCTGCTCAGGCTCTCGGGCAGCCGGCCCGGCAGCGCCTTCCCGGGACGCCTCCTGCGCCCGCCTTAGGTCGTTTTCCGCTTCTTGGCCGAGGGCCGCTCAAAGACATCCCGCACACCCGCTGCCTTCTGCTTGAAGAACTTGGTGTTCTGCGCGCTCTCCTGGCCCCAGGCAGAGTCGAACGAGGTGGTGTCCTGGTCTACCAAGTGCGTGTACTTCGTCCGTCCCGAGCGCCCGAAGTTCTTGACCTGGGGGCGGGAGGGAGAGCTGCTGAGAAGCCACTGGGGGGGCCGCGGGGACCCTGCCCTGGCACACGGCGCCTCCTCCCCCACCGGCCACCCTATGCACCCACCTGCATGACTTTGGGCAGGATGGTCTTGTTGAAGTGGTCCTCCAGGGTCGGGGCACTGAAGTCCCGCTTGTACACCTCCTCATCTTCATCCTGTGGAGGAAAGGCACAGCTGCTTGTGCTGCAAGTCTCCAGCAAGTGCCAGCAGCAGAGAAGAGCCCCCAGAAGCCGGTACCGCCGTGGTGCTGCTGTGCTGCCCAACCTCGGGGCTCGTGCAGAGCTGCCAGGAGGCAGCAGGAGCAAGGCCGAGCTGCCGCTCACCCCGTCCGGGCTCTGGCCGTGGCACTCACCATGAAGAAGGCGCCGCGGTGGTAGTACTTCTGCAGGAACTTGTATTTGCCCTTCACGGCCTTGTTGGTGATGACCTTGCCGTTGGCGCGCAGCTCGGCGCGGCGCTCCTCCTCCGTCAGGTTCCGCATCCGCTCAATCTCTGCCTTCTCCTTCTCCATGCTGCGCAGGAGGAAAACCCTGAGCCCCCCGCCCCCAGCACCCCGCAGACAGCAGAGCTGCTGCCACGGGGGCCTGCTGCAGGCTTACAGCTACTGGCTCCCAGAGCGAGAGCAACAGAGTAAGGGCACCCTGAGGGATTTTGGACACCTTGTCTAGGCCAGAGCACGCTGCCCAAAGGGAGGCGGGAGGAGAGGCCCCAGCCGTCCGCTCCCTGCGGGGCCCAGGGCTCCCTGCGTGCCTGAGCACACAATACTCACGCTTCTCGCTCCTCGCGGTCCCGCTTGATGCGCTTCAGCTCACGTACTTTCCAGGCCTCGTACTCCTCCTCGTCATTCTCATCATCAGTGTCCAGGGCATCCAGTGCTGCCAGCGAGCGTTTGTTCTCCTCCAGCTCCTTCTTTGCTTCCTCTTCCACGATCTGGAGGCAGGACCGAGCTCAGCCCATTGCAGACCCCAGCCGTTGCCCCACACAGAGCCCCGCCAGCCCCGTGGTACCTTGAGCGTGTATTTGCGCCTCTCCTCTGCCATCCTCTTTGCTTCCTGCTCCAGCTCCTTCTGCTTCAAGGCTTCTGCTTCTCGCTCCTGAACTGTGATTCGGTCCTTCCTGTAGGCACGGACCACAGAACCCTTCAGCCTTTTGGCGAGCTACTTCCCTTCTGGTGCTGCCCCGCTCCCCCTGTGGCTGCAGGCACGCACAGGTGGCAGAAGGTCCTGCCCGTGGCTGTGCGGCTCGGCAGAGCTTGGTGCTCGCTTCCCACTGCCCTGCACTGCCCAAAGCCCCGTCAGGACGCTGCAGCTCTCTGCCCTCCCCTCCCGCAGGAGCAGGATCTGTGCGTGGTGCCCAGCTGCCCACTCCCATGTCCCCAGCCAGGGCCGCTCTGCCACCTACTTGCGGATGAAGACGGGTTTGAGCCGCGGCTCCATTTCATCCTCGCTGTCCGTGTACTCCTCGTACTCGGACTCTGACTCAGACTCCTCTCCAGATCTGCCCTCGTCTTCCAGCTCCATCACCTCCAGCTCCTCGGTTTTCCTCTCCTGCGCTCGCTGGCGCATCATCCCGCGCCGACGCTCAATCTCCTACCGGAGACGCATGGAGCGCAGTCAGCCCTGCTCCTGCTTCATTCTCCCTGTCCCACGCAGAGTGCAGTGCCCCGAACTCACTGCTGTGAGATCGCCCACCCCGCAGGGTGGGGTGGCCTCCCCCAGTGCCCCATAACCCACATGCCAGCATCACACTGCCACCGGCTGTGGCTGAGGTGCTGGCCCTCGCTCAGTGCCCCCAGACAGCTCCCAGCCGTATGACATCGAATTCCAGCTGTGGCACTTGGGGGCCTCTCTGGGCTACCCCCGCTTCAGCAATGTGAGCGTACCTCATCATCGATCTCCTCCTCCTCCTCCTCGCTGGTGTCCTCTCGCTCCAGGCGCCACGCTTCGCCCTCCACCTCAGAATCGCTTTCTCCAACCACTTCAGGCTCCACGATCTTACGGTGCCGTGCCAGCCTACAGTTGAACCCAGTTACATTCAGTACTCTGAGTGCACAGGGCCGGCAGGAGAACTGCTCCTGGGGGAGCCTGCCCTTAACTGGGACTGACAGCTGAAGGCACTCCATGCCAGAACCCAAACAGCGCTCAGTCCCTCCCTGCCCTGGGCACATTTTCACAGAACCCCATCTTTCCACCTGCACTGAGCTTTAGCGCGTTATGGGAACTTTCAGAGGCCGCCTGCACCACCCAGAGCACACCCGAACGCGGGGCTGAGCCCTGGCACCGTCCCCACAGGCTCTCGGGGCAGCTCACGGCGCAGCCCAACACAGCAGGAGGGGGAATGGCCAGGGGCAGCCCCAGCGCAGCCTCTGGGCTGTCCTGCCGCCTGCCTGCAGCACAGCCCTGCCCAGCCTCCCGCCCTGCGCCCCCCCAGCTCACCGCTCCTCCACGTCCTCCGTGACGCGGTTCTGCAGCCGCCGCAGCCGCGGGTCGTTGGCCACCTCCTCCTCCTGCTCCTCGGGCTCGGCCTCCTGCTCCTTCGCCTTCTTGATGAACTGGAACTCCTCGTCCTCCTCCTCCGAGGACTCCATGGGCGCGTAGTCGGGCCGCTTGCCGGACACGTAGCGCTTCACCTTCACCTTCTCCATGGACAGCTCCCCTGCGGGGCGGCCGTCACCGCGCTGCCGCCGCCGGGCCCCCCGCCGGGCCCCCCCCCGCCGCCCCCCGCCCCTCGCCGCCCCCAGCCCGCCGCCCCCCGCTCACCCTTCTCGTTGCGGACGGGCACGGCGCCCGCCGTGGACTGGATGGGCGGCTGCTTCATCAGGGCGCTGGGCACCGCCATGGCGGCGGCGGGACCGGGACGGGACCGGGACCTGGAGCGGGCCGGGACTGGCGGCGGGCGATGGCAGCTGCCGGCGGCGCACCGGAAGCACGGCCCCACTTCCGGCGGCGCACCGGACGCGGAAGCCTCAGCGCTCTGCTGAGGGTGGCCGGAAGTGACGCTCCGTGCCGCCTCGGTCACTTCCGGCGCGCCGCCGGGGCTGCGGGCGGGGCGGGGGGGGCGGGACTGGGGGCGGGGCGTCCCCCGGGGCTTCCCCCGCTGCGGGCCCCCGGGCGCCTCCCCCGCCGGCTGCGGCCCGGGGCCGACACGGGCGCAGCGGGACCGTCCCGAGGGGCCGCCCCCCGTCCCCTGCCCCCTGCCCCCCCGCGGCGGTGCGGAGGCGTCGGGAGGCGCCGCGGGCGCGGCCCCTTCGTGGCAGCCGGGGGGGGGGCTTCGTGTGAGCTCCCGGCCCCGGCCCCTGCCCCGCCCCAGCCGCGCGGCACGCAGGAAGCCCGCACCGGGCGGGGATTTCTGTGCGGGCTGTGCCCGGCCGCAGCAGGCACGGCTGTGCCCAGCTTCGAGGAAAGCCGCGCCACAAACCCTGCCTCAGCCGCAGCTCCGCGCAGCCTTCTGGAAACAGAGGAAGAGGTTTCACCGCCCGGAACGTCTCAGCGCAGCGCTGACTGCAGCACATCCTGCGGCGGGGGCCTGGGAAGCAGGAGGATGAGCCGGGCTTTAACCACACGTGCCGGTGCCTGCTGGGCCCCCGCAGACACCCCAGGGGTTGTGAGCGGTGGGCTGGCCGCTGCTGCAGGTGGGCAGCCAGGGAAGGCAAAGCAAGCGTGTTCTCCCGGCCAGGGCACAGCACTGAAACGCGATCCCAAAGGAAGCGCAGGGGACTCCTGTTGGTGCCCCTGGCTGCAGGCTGGGAGCCGTCCTGCGGGAGGATCAGCCCAGCCAGTGCAGGTCTCTGGTCCCGCAGGACCACAGCACGGCTGAGGCCGGAGGCACCTCTGGGTGCCTCTGGTCCGACCCCTGCTCCAGCAGGGCCACCCCGAGCAGGGTGCGCAGCACCACGTGCAGGCAGCTTTAGAAGATCTCCAAGGAGGAGACCCCAGCACCTCTCGGGGCAGTCTGTGTCAGTGCTCCACCACCCACAAGGCAAAAAAAAAAAAAGTTCTTCCTGGTGTTCAGACATTCCTGTGTTCCAGCCTGTGCCCCTTGTCTCTTCCTGGCACTGGCTGCTGCTAAAAGAGCCCAGCTCTGTCCTCTGCGCCCTGTGATCCCCCTGAGCTTTTCCACCTCCACACTGAGCAGCCCCAGCTCCGGCAGGAGCAGAGCTGATTCCCAGCAGCTGCCCTGCTCTGCTCTGGGCTCCGCTCCTCAGGGGCAGAGTCCCCACGGCGGTGGCAGGGGTGTGAGGCTGGGGCCGGGCAGGCTCTGTCCCGGGAGATCCCTCACCCCAGGCAGGTCAGCGGCCCCCGCTGGGTGACTCCGATCCTGCCGGTGCTGCGGAGGGAGCACGGCTGCTGACCCACCAGAGGTTCCCAGCCCTGGGGCCGTGCAGTGCCAGCCCCTCCCTCCCGCTGTCTGTGCCGAGCATTGAGCACTGCTGGCTCAGTCCTTGCTGTGGCCCTGCACACGGGCGCTGCCTGCAGTCTGTCCGTGTGGGCCTCTCCTACAAACCTGCTCCTGCCAAGCGGGGGGAGCTGTTGGCTCTCCCTGGGGCCCTGACACTTCTGCTGCGTGTGCAGGCGCTGGAGGAGCTGCGGTGCCTGGCCTGGGCCAGGCTGCGGCGTCCCCCTGCCCTGCAGCTCACGCTGGGCCCTGGCGCCCCGGCACGGGAAGCTTTGTGCTGCTGCAGCAGCCAGTGCCTGGGGAGGGCAGGAACTTTCTGGCGTTCCTGGCCCTTTTGTCTGGATGACAACCGGAGCTCCAGGCCAGCTCCCTGCTCCGCATTTGATGATCAGATGAGATCGTACTCGCGGGGTTATCGCAGTGTGTTCTCGCCTAATGAGTCCTGTGTCACCATGGCAAGGAGCGAGCTCCAGCACATGACTCAGTGGGTGAAACAATTAGGAGCAGCAGTTAAAGGAAGGCTTGGGAACCGCGCAGAGCACAAAACGTCCTGATCGGGTGAAGCTAAGCTCGAGGCCTCGGCAAACAGGGAAATGCGTTCCCTGGCTGCCGTGCTGTGACCGCAGGGGGTTGGAGCCGTGGCAAGCAGCAGCCCTAATCCTGTGACGTGCCGCTCTCCCCATGTCCCCAGGGAGCTGCAGCCACCTGAAGGAGCCAGATGCAGCCGCTGCAGGAGCCACAGGGGGCTGGGGCTGACCCTGCAGGTGCAGGCTGTGGGGTCCCCCTTGACGGGGCCCTGTGGTGCTGTCCTGGGCCCGGACGGTGAGCCCACACCATGCCAGCTGCACCGGGGTGCTGCAGCTCCGCGGCTGTCCCCGTCACCCCTCCAGGGACAGGGGATGCGGGCTGGCAGCAGAGCTGAGCAAGCCCTCCCGGCCCTCCACAGCGCTCAGGGTGAGGGCAGCCCCGCTGCAGGCTGTGTGTGGGCTCTGCACGAGTGTTCCTGTGGGCCCCGCAGCGTGCTGAGGACGGGTGAGAGCATCTCCCTGCCTGGACAGTTGGGCAGGAGGTGGTGGCTGCGACTCACGCAGCCCCGAGCAGGGGCAGCAGCACGGCGGGCTGCAGCTGTGCTGCCTTGGCAGCCTCGCTGCCGTTGATGATAAGGGCAGAAGGCAGATAAAGTCTCAGAGCCGCGCTGTGCTGCTGCTGTTTGCAGGCTGCACCGCGGGCCAAGGTCAAGGGTGTTTGGGCTGGATCCCCAGCCCCCCTGTGAGCACAGCCAGACGTTGTGTCTGTGAGCGCGGCTGTGAGCGGAGCCTCCTGAGCCCCGCGGCGCGCAGCCCCCGTGGCTGTCCCAGCTCTGGCACTGGGGCCCAGAGCCTGCCTGGCAGGGGGCTGCCATGCTGCGAGTACACACTGCCTGATCGGCTGGGAGCCTCTCGGTGTCCGCCTGCCCTCGCTGCCCTCTGTTTGGTTTTCTCAGCTGTGTGAGGGTCCCAGCCCTACCTCCCCAGCTTCTCCGCTCCACTGCCCATTTTCTCACAGCACGGCGGTGGTCCTGCTGCGCCCCCAGCCCACCTTCAGGCTGGAGGTGCCTCCGGACAGGGGGGGGTGCAGCCCCACCACTGCACTGCCCACCGCAAAGCACTGGCCCATGGGCAGTGTCACTGGTGGAGCTTGTGCAACCCCTGCAACAAAATGCCAAAAATTGACCTGTTTTTTCTGTGAAAGTAAGTTTCTGTTGATTGCAGTGTGTGGCTCAGCAGGGCAAGCCATGGGACATTGTGTGGCACAGGACACTGTGAGGCAGAGGATATTGTGTGGCACGGGATGCCTCGTGGGCAGCTGGTGGGTGCCGTGCACTGGGAGTCACACACAGAGCTCCTGGCAACTCCTGGAGTGCGCTGATGCTACCAAGTAAAGGCCACCAAACTCAGTGCGACGTTTGAGAGGAGGGTTTGTGGTCCTCGCAGACCCTGCCACGGCAGCTACTGCACCCCTCCACTGTCCCCGGCAGGCAGCAGCTGAGGAGGGAGCTCTGAGCGGCTCCCAGCTTTCAGAGGGTCGGCAGCGGCTCCGATCCCGAGGGGCTGCTGGCAGCAGGTCCCGCTCTGCTGCTCCCGCGTGAGCGGCGTTGTCTTTGGCAGGAGGAGCGATCGGCTGCGCCCGTCCAAAGCTAACAGTTTGTGCAAGAGAGAGGTGCTTCCTGCTCTCCTGCCCCGGAGCAGCGAGATAAGGTGACAAGGGGTCCTTTGTCAGCTCCTGTCCCCACAGCCCCGGGTGCCGCAGGGCCAGGCAGAGCAGCTTCGTGCCCGGCCTGGGCACAGCCGGGGCTCCTGGAGGAGGCACCTGAGGTAAGGCCCGGGCAGGGGCAGGGGCAGACGCGGGACGTGCCGGACCCACATATCTGGGCTGCACACAGAGGGCCCGGGGCAGCAGGAGGCTGAGCTGTGCATTGGGGCTGGGAGTGAGCACTGCAGGGCGCGAGGGCCCCAGGCTGCCCCAGCCCCACGGCTCGTGCGGCCGGCCGGGCCCCTCGGGGGCAGTTGTGGTGGGCACCGAGCGGCCTGCAGCCCCTGCTCCTGGCACCGGGCCGTGACCGGGCACTGCCCTGCAAAATTAACCTACTTTGGCAAAGAGAAGTGCCCTGTGCCAGGTTTTCTGGGCTGTTCTCGGCATCTCAGTTACCAAGGTGACTGTTTCCTGTGCGATTGCTAACGCTTCATATCTCGATCATGATATCTGGGTGACTTCCTTTCCGTGAGATGTGCGTCCCGCTCCCACCCCGGGCTTCGCCAGGCGCCTTCTGAGGCTCAGGACTCAGGTCAGTCGGGGCTCTGATGCTTTTTTTTCTCGCGCTGCCTTTCGCACCGCTCCTGGGCACGCAGACCCCGTGTGGGCAGCGCAGCGGGTGGGTGCCGGGGCAGCAGCACGGCGGGGCTGGCTGCCGGTCGCTTCTCGCCTCTCCCCTGGCTCCCGGATCGTTCGGGGGCTGTGCCCGGTGCCCTGCAGCCCGAACGCTGCCGCGGCTCCGTTGCTGCCCCCGGGCGGTTTCCCCGTGGGGCCGCTCGGCGCCTGCCCGGGGCCGCACCGGGGCGCTCCCAGCCCCCCCCAGCTCCCCGGGCCGGGCCGAGCCGCTCGGGGCCCGGCGGCTCCCGCACACCGGGGGCGCGGAGCAGCCGCCTGCCGGGCGCCCTCCGTGGCGGGGCCGTGCCCCGGGAGCCCCCGGGCGGCGGCGGCGGGGCCGGGCGGGGGCTGCGGCCGTGGCGGCGCCCCGGGACCCGGCGGCGGCGCCGGTGCGGGCGGGGCGGGCGGCGGTGACGGCATCCGGCGGCGCCCGGCGGAGCGGCGGCCGAGCCGGGCCGGGCCGGGCCGAGCCGAGCGGGGCCGCGCGGGGCCGGGCGGGGCGGGGCGGCGCTGACAGCTGTAAACAAGCGGCCCCGCGGCCGCCCCGCCGCCCCTGCCTGGGCCGGGCCCGGCTCCGGGGCGGGCGCTCGGGGCTGCCCCGCGCCGTGACGCTGCGCCGCCGCCAGAAGGGCCGGGCCGGCGGGACGGGAGCGG